AGAGAACAGCCATCGGTCGACCAGAGGGAAAAGAGAAACAGTCGGTCGCAGACAGTTCGTCGGTCAGTCAACTCCCGGCGGCGGCGGCGGCATCTTTCCAACAGTCCGCTGCTGGTTTCATTTTCTCGCCAACTGTTCGTCTTTTCTTCTTACTTCGATTGTCCTCAGGTGCTCAGCCGCGATTTCCTATTTTTAGCGGAGCGAGGAGTCTCCAGTCGACAAGCGCGGATCGGGCGAACCGACAGAACCGTGTCGGCTGTCGAGAAAGGAACTCGGCTTGATTTCTCGCGATGGTTCTTGCGAAATGATTTCTTCTCTCCGATCCGGAGTGTTTCGAACGCTCTCCGTCGAATTCATGGATTTGCTCCTCTCCCGGAAAAAAGGGAAACCAAGGACCCATTATAAAATTGTTGGGTACGCATGGCATTCCCGACAATCTCCTGACAAACTAGCGCGCCGCGTAAGCTGCCCGGAGCCGGTCTATCCGGAGTGCGGCGCACATTCCTCCTCTCTAACCTTTTCCATGGATGTTGACTCGCTATCTCTGAAGCGCCCCCTCTCCCCCTCGTCCCGTCCGACCGTGGGTCGCATCGTGGGCTAGACGGTGGACGACGGTGTTGTTGTCTCGCTTCGCTCGGCCACTCTGGTTGCCAGTCGGCTTGGCAGCAAGCTGTACAGACGAAGAAGGCCAAGCGAGCAACTAACCAAGCAACTGTCTAGCTGGACGCGAGTTTCCTCCAATTACCCTCGTGCAGCTCGGTGTCCGCCCGTCCGCCTACCCGCCTGCCCGCCCGCCCGTCCGCCTGCTCGGCTGTCTGCCCGGTCGGCTGTCCAGGCGACTGGCCCACGAAAAAGACTGACATCCGAAGTAGTAGCAGCAGCAGCAGCAGCACCACCACCACTGAAAGTGAAGCCAAATAGGAGAGAGCGCGAGCGAGCAAGCCAGTCAGCTGGGAAGTCGGCTTGCGACCGAGGGTTGGGGGGACCACGGGAGGGCGGAGTGGACGACTGAGGAACGACCGAGCGAATGGAGGAGGGGGGTAAGCGAACGAGCGACCGGGGAACGACCGTCGACGACAACAACGACGACGACCACCGCCACCACATCCACCAAGAGTAGCAGAGACAGCAAAAGAGAGATCTTCGTCGGCGTTGTCGTCCTCTTCGCCGTCCGTCCGGTCGTCGGTCTGTCGGCTCGCCCCTCGGTCTGTGAGTCCGTTGATTCGTCCTATCCATGGTCGGGGGTCGCTTGGTTGACCCGCTCGGCGAGTCGACGGACTGTCGGTCTGCTTCGTGCCCTCAAGCCGGAGGCCAGCGCCAGTCGGCTCGGCGGCCAGGCAGACAGTCGTCGGATCAGGGACAGGCGAACGTAAGGATTGACAGACTGATTGGTAAACCATCCGACCAGCCAGCCGGCCGGCCGGCCAACCAAGCAACCAGCCAACCGAGCGAGTGAGCGAACGGACAGCCTTCGAGGGAGCCGGCGGTCAGCTGGCCGTGGACTTCCGCTGCTGCTGGTGACCTCTTGCCTCGTTCGAGTTGGCTCGCCTTGAGCATATTTGTCGCGCCATCCACAACCGCCGTCGCAGGAACGCCGCGGGCGGATGGTCCGGGCCGTTCTGCGAGCCGTTTTGCGGGGCTTTGGACAACGGACGGCGATTGGACAAGCTTATGGGCCAAGTACGACGCTGGATCCGGTGGGTTCTGCCACAAGTGCGGCTTCCATGTGTTACCATCATGTTGCGGCAGGGACAGTCGGCACGACTTGCCCATCTTTCCGGGAGCAGGAAAACTGCGCAAGAAGGCGAAAAATACGTCGGACGCTTACCACCCGTAAACGTCTCCGGGTCCCATGCTGGAGGTCCTCAAGGCTCCCCGCAACTCTATTGTCGTTTTTTCCTCGACGATCCTCGATTTCTTCCCGGCTTTTCCCGTCTGAGCGATTGCCCGGCTTATTCGGTCGTCGTTTTTCCAACCTCTGTCGTTGCTCCCGGCAGAGTGGATTATCGCGTCCCCGACAAAGCATCGACCTTTCAATTCGCTTTTTTTTTTCGGTACGGCCTACCGTACGCGTAAGCCGTCCGCGGAGAATCTCGGTGCCAATCGACATGTCGTCCCTGTTGTCATTGTTATACCTTAATCGCTCCATCCTCCCACCGTGATCCTCGTCCGGACCGATCGGTGAACAACGAGTCCGACGAGCCGAGCAGACATTCGAGTAAGCCGCCGAGTCGGGCGAGCATTCGCTCGTTGTACATACTGTATGCAACACATGCATGGATTGTGGAAGTTCTCAGCTGGAGCATGCGGAGATGAATGAGATACCAGCCAGCTAGGCAAAGACCAAAGGATATCACGTTGAATATATGACCGGCGGACCGCGGTCGCTGTGTGCGAAATCCGTCCGTGTGCTTACAAACTGACTGACTGACTGAGCAAGTGACCTAGCCAACGAGCAGACAGGTTGCTATCCAGAGAAGCGCTCGCCGAGCCACGGGGCTAAGTGCAGAGACCCCCGCGATGGTGCCGTCGTCGACGTCGGAAGCGGTGGGCAACATCGCTCGCTGCCAACGACGTCGACGACAACCACCGTAGTAGTGGTGGTGGCGGCGGCGGTGGAATATGGAGGGGGGGGGGGAGAGGCGTTCGAGTGAGCAGGGTAGAACAGCTGCGGGCGGAGTTGCAAAGAGTGACTCGTGGACCTCTCTCGTTGCCTCACTCGCAGATTTCCCAGCCGGGCGAACGACCTACCGACCGACCCACCAACCGACCCACCGACCGACCGACGACGGACCAACGTGGTCGGCGGCTCTCCTGTTCACCCTCCGTTCCAGGTCTACGGGCGGCGAACTCACTCAGGCCACCACCGACAACTGAGCAAGCGACCGCCCCGCGCTATTTTCTCGGAGAGTAACAACCCCTACCATTTGCTCCGTCCAGCCTACGTCACTCCACCAGTCACTGGTGAGAATGGAACAAGTCGACGGATAGATGGGCGGCTGTTAGCTCTACGTACCGCTGAGCGCTTACCTACAGCCTTCGGACGTTTCGCTCGACTACTTGCTGGCTTGCCCAGGGGTCGAGCTCGAGCGAGCGAGCCGTCCGTCCGCCGTCGTCGTCGTCACTACCACCAGTCAGTCGATCGATGCGTTGAGCCGGCAACCTGTCACTTCCACTCGTTCAGTATACATGCTACACTAGGAGCCAGGCGAGGACGCAAGATACGAACGAGTTCAACCGTCCGAGGAAGAAGACTCCACTGACGAGGCGGTCGTCTGTCCGTCCGATCCATCGGCCGTCGTCGACGAGTCAGACCACTCAGCGACTGGCCTGGTGCGCAGCGGCGCCTCAAGAGTATTTTCACAATTGAATCATTTACCTCCCCGAATTCAAATCGACGGGTCGCGTCTCATCCATCTAAGCCCGTGGTCGTGATCCGCACGCTCGTCTTGTCCACTTGAGCGGTCATACTGTCGATAGGGATTATTCATGCGATCAGATGCGGCGCCACCGGATGCTTTTCCCTCTTCTAATTTCTCCGATGCTCGTTTGTATTCCTTTTTTTCTTTGAGTTATTCATTCACCTCGTTAGCCTCAGTCAGCTACTTCTCTCTTCCCGTCGTCGGCTCGTCCGGTCACTAAGTGAGTGAGTGTCGATGCGGCTCATTCGCCGAACGACCTCCTATCGACTCGTTCGAGCGCTCGTCGCTTCGCTCGCAGTCTTTCGTAGGCTGACAAGGCGACTCTTTGCCTGCCCGAACGCCCGCCCGCCCGACGGGTCGGCCGGACCAGCCGGCGGTTCCCCCCCCCCGTCCCCTCCAACCAACCGCTTCGTTTTCCATCCTTCGCCAAGGATCAAGCCCTTGTCCCGCTCCTCCTTCTGCCGCGCCCCCCCCCCCCCTCGCCTGCCTCTATTCCCCTAACCTCATTCTGCTGCTGCTGCCACTTGGTCAGCCGTTCGGTACGAGCTGCTCGTCAGATGATCGGCTCCTCTTCCCTTGCGGCTTGCTTAGTTGGCGAGTTAGTTGGCCAGCAGGCGGGCCGGGAGAACTAACCGATCGACGAGTCTCGGACGAGTAGGGCTCGGCCGACTACCGGCGTGCAGACTGCGGGAACGACTGGTTGGCTCAGCGGCCGGCGGGGCTGATTACCTGGCCGTCCGCCTGTCTAGCTGTTCAGCCGCCCGGCTGGCTCCACCGATCGAATTCTCCGTCTGCACGGCTATTGCGGCCGCTTTCACAACCCTGCTCGCCTTGGTTGGGACCTTCGGTCGGTCCGCCGGTCGCTCGGTCGGTCGAAGGCTGACGATCACTTGTCGAGATGAGCCAACAGTAGCAGTCAACGACCGACCGACGGTTGAGCGACCGAGCGGCTTGGTTTGAACTCGCTGCTCGTTTTGCCTCGTCGGTTGCCCCTTCCCCCCTCCCCCTTCCCTCCCAGCAATGACGAAGGGCGCGCGTTTCGGGGGAAGTCGGGTCGCGCCGCCGTCTACGACTACGACGGGGAGCTCGAGGGAACGGAGGAGAGGGGACCTGGACCGCGGGCGGATCCCCAGACGGAATCTCCGAGGGATCGTCGGGACGGCGAATAAACCGACGCGACGGGAGAGAGATGTAGATGAGCAGATGAAGTACACGACCACAGTGTCGCAAGGAAACGAGGATGTGACTCGTGCGGAGGATTAGACCTCTTCCCCCGTTCAGGAGTCCGAGCATTCGGTGATTCTTTACTCTCGACGAGGTCTCTGTTCTGAAGCATGGGCATTTTCTCGGGAAGACTCGATTTGGATGTAATGCGATCCATCGGTCGGACAATTGACCCCTCGAGATATTGATTCACCCATTGACTGATTGATTGATTGATTTCCCGCTCTTTCCAGGTGATCAAGCATTTGCGAGACTGAGCTGACCGCGTCGACGTGAGTGGCAACCTGTTGTGGTTGTCTTCGGTGGTTTGACCTGCCGACCGGTCGACGCTAGGAGCCCATCATCGAGGGAGACATGTACTATTCGTTCGCATCGCCGTTTGCCGATTTGGGAAACGCCGGAGTGACCCGGTCCCCAGCCCGGCCGACGGAAAGCGCTTCGACGTTCCCCTTGGACTTATCGTCAAAAACCCCTCCACTCGCCAGAGATTTATTCGACCAGCAACGAGCAGCTCTAGCGGCCGCTTCGATGCTGTCGAGTAGAGCTTTCTCCGAATGGTGTCCAAGCATTATGGGGGGCTGTGGCGGTGGGGCTGCAAGCCCTGTCATCCCGTCGTCCGAATCGTCGTCTTCGTCTTCGTTGTCGTCGTCGTTGCCGTCTAGCCTCAAAGGATTTGCCGAGAGCAAAAGTCCTCCATTGGCTCTGCCGCCGCAAAGTTCCGCGTTCCTCGAAAAGCAAAAGCAACTAGCGGCGTTGATGTTCTCCTGTCACGCGGCGCTCATGGATCCCGTGGCGATGTTCCGAGCCCAGAGTCTGCAACACGCTTTCGCAAGTCAGGGGCCCCAGTTCGGTCCCGCGCCCCCCGTATTCCCCGCTTTCGACGCGTCCATGTGGACCGCGAGGGGTTTCGACGCGAGTTCCCGCAGTGACGAGGTGAGTTCGGAGCGAACAATTCATCAATTAATTTCAGAGACGGGACATTCGGTTCGCTTTGGTTTTCATTCTATGACTCCCCTCGGATCGGGACGAATAATTAATAATTCGAATGTTTCCGAGTCCTGATGAAGAGTCAACTTCCAGGCGACGACGAACACCCAGATCCCGACGAACCAGCAACAGCACCAACAACAGCAGAGCAGTAATGGACAACAGCAGCCCCCGAATCTCACCCAGCAAGAGCAGCAACACCAAAATCTAAACCAACAGGCACAAATTGTACAGCAAGAGCAACAGTGTCAGAAAGAGCAGCAGCAGCAACAACAACAGCACCAACTAATACAGAATCCACCCCAACAACATCAACAACAACAGCAGCAGCTTTTGCAGCCGAAAGCTCCGCTAACGAGCATCAAGACCGAGAAAACATTCCAACCTTGGAAGGACGATGTTGTAAAGCCCAAGAAGACGCCCTTCAACATCGAAGCGCTTAGTAAACCGGACGACAACACTTCGACAACAACGGTGAGCAACGCCGCGCTGAATTTTAATAGAATGTAATTTTCGTTCGCCAGGCGCTGACGAGCGTGCGGTCCTGGCCGCAATCCCGACATGCGAATCGGGAGGAAAAGATAGCGTTCCGAGGAATATCTCCCCATTGTTTTGAGACCTCGATCGAGACATCGGACGGTTCCTGGCTCCCTCGTTCGCTCCCTGCTTTCGAATTCCCCCACCCGTTGCGCCTGTCGTCCTCGTCTTTCTCGGTGACGAGTGTTTGGTTTGAGCCGGAGCCAAGGAGGCAGCCGAGAGAAAAAAGAGAAAGACATACCGACCGATACCCGGAGAGCGGTAGCGAATAGAAACAGATGGATGGACAGACGGAGCGACCGACTAGTAAACAGGCGGCTAAAGGCGAAGGTGCTGCGCGGGAGGGGCGCGGGATGGGGGGCGAGTTCCTGAGTATGGGGCCGGGGGAGGAGGGGGAGGGGAGAGAATGGGAGGGATGAAAACGAACGCAAGCAACGCAACGAACCTCAAGTGTCTCGGCGGTTTGTCGATTTCGTTCTCCTTCCTCCCGCGCTGCTTCTTACGCGCTCGCTCCGCTATTCCTTCCTCGGCCGTCCCCGCTGCCCCGTATGTTCGCCGACGGCTGCCGACGTTCACCGACGAAAAGCGGGAGTGAGCGGAGCGGGAAAAAGAAAGACCGGTTTGCGGGGGCGCAACGGGCCAAGTAACACAGCGAACACCAGCCAGCGGCACAAGCAGAGCTGGCGGCGGCGGCGGGGAACGCGGCCGACGGGGAACTGCCGCTGCTGCTGCGATGTCGGAGGATAGTCGGAGCGCAATGGGTGCTTCTCCGGCTGCTCGGTGGCTTTACTGGTCGGACGAAACGGGCGGGAACGGGGACGAGACGGGAACAGGCAGGCATGCAAGCAAGCCTCGGCGGCGAAAAGGAAAGAGCCTCGCACAGCTGACTCATCGCGCCTTTTTTTTATGGAGTCGGCAGGAAGGCAGCCGCTCTGTCGGTCGCTCGCTCGGGCGGGCGCGCGGGTGGTCTGGCTGCGGGCCGGTTGCGAGTGCGCGCCGCTGCCGCCGCCGCCATGATATATTTGGAGTTTTGGCGGAGGCACTGGTAGCAGCGAACGACGGCAACCAGGAGCAGAGCGGCGGCGACGGCAGCAGCAGGAAGGCCAGGATCCTTGCCGTGCGCTCGAGGGCGGGACAGGCCAATACAAGCGAGCCACCAAAAAGACGACGGTCTGGGGACGGGATGGGGGGGGTCGGGACGATGGCAATAGCGGCCGCAGCAGCTCACCAAATGGAGGGCATGGTTGGGGGGGGGTTCCGTGCCAAATTACCATAGTGGCGGCGGCCCAAGCAGCGTTGGTGGTTGTGCTCCCGCGGAATGCGGATGAACAGGCCGTTCCTCCGTTCGCCTGCCCAACCGCGTCGCTGCGCGGTGTCGGGCTGACGTGCGGACAGACGGGCGAACGAGCGAGCGCACGAAGGGGACGCAAACGAGCCCGGGGTGCGAACTCTTCATAGAAGGCTGCTAAGAAGAAAAGGACGACGACGACGCAGAAAGAAGAAAGCGTCTCTCTTTTGAAGGATGAAAGGAGGGACGGACGGCTTTGGTCGTTCGGCAGCGCCGAAGGCGCGGTCGGTCGTCTGGGCGGCCGGTGGGGGGGAGATGGGGCGAGCCAGTCTGCCAGGAGCGGACAGCAGGCAGGCCGGCCGGCTAACTCGCTGGTGGGGCTGAGTTGACGTCGGTTAGCGTTGACGGCAGTCTGCCTGACTGGTCGGTCGTCCGTCCGTCCGCCCGTTCGGCCGGGTGGCTAGTTGACTTGGCGACCGAAAGCTTGGCTAAAGGACGAACGAGGGCGTGAGCGAACGCATGGGTGGCTCCGATCCCCGTCGAGGGGACGACCGACGTGGAGACGCCTCGAGGGCGGAAACGGACGGCAACGGACAAGAAGAGAGCTAAAAGTGGCTGTTCGGCTGCTTTCTCTGTCCGTCCGTCTCTCGGTCGTCGCCGCCGCCGCTCAGTCAGGCTCCTTCCTTTGACTCCCCCTGACGGCTCTCGCCGCTTCGCACTTCTTCCCGCCAGCTTGCTGTCCGTCCGACGGACTCTCACAACAGCCGGCGGCCCGTAGGTGGATCCGTCGTCGTCTCCGTCCGCTATTGGCTGCAGCCGCAGAGAGCTTTCAGTGGGAGGGGGGGGGGGCTCGAGCTTTGCACGACAGGGGCAACGTCGCCGACGTTGTGGACGAAGACGTAGACGACGTCACCGGCACTGCTACTAAAATGGAGCGGGGAAAACGACTCGGAGAATGACTGCTGGCGTTGGACGGTTGAAAAGGGAGCCTCTCAGTCACTCACTTACTCGCTGGCTCACTCACTCACGCAGAGCCAGTAACTGACGCCTCACTCTTTCTCTTTACAGCCAAACGGTCCCGCCGTCAAAGATGACGCTGTCAAAGGTAGGTGCACTCTTCGATTACCTGCAGCACCGCGAGATGGGAAGGGAGGGGAGGCCGGGAGAAGAGGTCCGAATCAAAAACCGCGAAGATAGATAAGGCGGAAGAACCGATTCAGGCAAACACGAGGGACGTTCAGGGTGGAATAGGATGAACGTTGTTTACTTGTCGGCCGTTCCGTTCAGAGTATGTTGGACTTGGGATTTGAGCGCTACGCATTGCGTACAATCGATGCCGCTGTTGTTTTCGTGACGACCGCTTCGGGCCCACGCTTGAATAAACTCCGCCGCGCTGGAATCGTGCGGCAGAGCGAAAAAACGCGGTACGTCCCGACGGCTGATTCCGATCGCCGTTCCGACCGTAGAATTTTTTTCCGCCTCATTCAAGGGTGCATTCACACGATGGAAAGTGACGCGGGGAGGGGCTGGGGCTGACACGTAAATAATGTGGCTTGAGCGAGCGATAATGATCGAGCGGGGAACATTCTTAAAAAAAAATCGGAAAAAATATTCTCAAGTGTCATCGGCTGGATGAGCGGCGGCAGTGACGCGAGACCTTGAGGAGGTTCGGCCTTATTGTTCATGACGCCCGTCGGCGTATATTCATTGTCGCCTTAAAATCGTTCGGGGGAAATGAGCAGCGACTCCTGCTGCGTCCCTGCGTCGAAAGAGTCCTTCGAGTCGATTAGGATAATTTTCGACCCCGAGCCAGAACTGAAGGCGCTCCGAAGAGTCGGCTGGGGCACATCCGGGTTCAGCGTAGGAGCCAAACGCAGGACGGCCGTGAGCGCGGTCGAGTCCTTGTCGATTCGTCCTTCCTCGCCGCAGAGAGAAAAAAACACAGGAAATGCTGCTCACGGTCGTCGACCGAAATGACCGCGGTCAGGAAGCTAAGTGCGCCACAAGATGACGACATTACAGCCACTGCCTTCGTAGGCAAAACGACGCAGCCTCACCCACGTGACGTCTACAGAGACATCGTCGTCTACTATCATCATCACCAGGGTCGTCTCCATGGCCATGGCTAAGCATCAACAGCGGTTCCACCGGAGCGTCAAGGGCATCAGCGGCACCAGTGATGGCAGATGGGCGATTAAGTAGCGGCATCGCTCCGTTGCTCCCCTCATTCGCGGCCTGGCGTTCCTACCTCGACGTCGATGACTCTCGTTAGAGCGCGTTTCGATTTTTTGTTTGCTCCCCCTCGGCTCCGAATCCCCGAATATACCCCGGATACCATGAAACCGGAATTCAGGCATGAATCATATGACCGCGGAATTCCGATTCCTCTTCTTCATCCTTCCCCGTCGCTTTCGAGAAACGATGAGTAACCGACTGGTCGAGGACAATAATTATAATCCGCTCGCGAATCCGGCGGACGAGACGGAACTCCGGACGACAAAAACTCCGCTGACGGCCGTCCGCGTAGACGGTGGGAGCTCACTCGAACGGATGATGTAGCTTAGAAGCAATTGGAACCATCGATCGTACAACCAGAAAGCGCTGAACCATTCAGCCAGTTAGCCGCCGTCGCCGCCGCCGTCGCCACCAAAGCGGGCAGGAGGGCAGACCGACAGCCGCGCTGGCTTACGGAGTACGCGAAGGTTCCGGTAGTAAGAGCCACGGACAGGGCAGAACGGAACGTGGAAAAGGCAACGACGGAGTAGCGTTAGCCGACAGGCGGACGAGATAGTACGTCGGCCCTGCGGGCAAGAGGCGTGCCAGTGAGGCGCAATAAGGGACGAGGTGGGTAGGAACGAACCGAGCGGGCCCTCGGCGGACGCACGGGCAGGCAGTCGGGTGGGTCGGTCGGTCGACGGGCCAGCCTGCAGCCGCGGTGGCAGACGAGGGCTTATGGCTCAGCAGTTCACTCAGGCCCGATTAAGACCACACAGCAGCTCACACAGTCACTCGTTCGTCCGTCCGTCCGTCCGCAGAGCCAGCCGTACTCTCTCACGCTCGTCCTCTACCCTGATCCCCTGGATTTCGTCGGCCGTTTCGTTCGTTGGCCGATCGGTCGTTCGGGCGGTGGTCTTGTTGGTTTTTCGGTCGGTCGGTCGGTCGTTCGGCCGGTCGTCTTAGTCGGTCAGGGCGGTGGCGACGGCCGCTGTCAGAGGGAATTTCACTGCCCATGTGGGGACTGTAGGACCGGAGAACGACCCCGGTCACAGGCATGGGCTCGCCCGCCGAGGGATTCGGTGGGAGAGTGCCCGAAACAGCAGGAGGCCGGAGGTCAGGTTGAGCACGCGCGACTTGCTCAAAGCGAGAGTGGGAAACAGAAAAAAAAATTACAGCGACTCGCCGAACGAACAAACGAACGAACGGGATCGGGGAGCGGCCAGGTGCGACGCACTGTCGGTGACAGCAACAACAACAACAATTGTTGTTGCCGACAACTGCCTCCGGTGTCCTCGTTAACACGAGTCCCAGTCTCGTTGACCTCGACCGAAGTTGACGTGGTCATGCGCGGCTCACACTGGCGAGCACCGCTCAGAATGCGAAATTCGGGGCGTCAACGCAATTTACGCGATGGCGACAGCAACGACGGGCCGTTGTTATTCGCCGCATCCGCAGCGGGCTGGTAAAGAATGACAAACGGAGCGGGCAAGGTGCTACCCAGTCAAGGACGTGCTCTCTCAGCGCTCGGACGCAGCAGCCGGCCGGGATGGCCGTCCAGACGGTTATCGTCCGCTTGCTTCCCCGCCGCCCGTCCGCTCGCTCCCTCCTCCTGCCGCACGCTCTTCGACTCACTCGTTTCCTCAGTCTGGAAGCAGCGAACCGATGTGGGCTCTCGCGCGGAAGCTTTATTGAGGCCGTCTGTGATGCAAACAAGGAGTCACACAGCTCGCTCGGAACGGGAGGAATGTCAGGCGCTAGGGGAAGGATAAGAAGCTGTGGAAGGGAGACGGCAACAGGATGGGGACGCATGGGGTCAACACGCGAACAGACGACCAGCTGCGTTTTCGGGTGCACACCGAGAGCGGCCGCTGGGAAAAAGACGAGAGCCGACAGAATGCAGGGAGTGGGGTAATATGCTGGGATGTGCGCAGATCACGTCAACTCCGGGGCGTTCTCTAAACGTTTGATGAATATTGCTTCGAGATCCACCCTAGTCCGGTAAATGGAGACCTAATTGAATTTCGAGTGGTACATGGGAATGAAGATCCCGAAAGTATGGTACTTACCTGGTCGTAAAATTCTCAGGGGGAAATCGATATTCCGATGGCGAGATGCCTGATCCCGATTTTCTGCTGTCTTTCCAGTTGAATTCAAGTATAGTCTACATCCGAAGAAACGCCGTCTCGCCTCACCGGAAACTTGCGTTGATACATGCGGAACGTCATCTGCTGTTCTGAAACCGAAGAAACGCTTGGTACAAGTCCTCCAGAAATGGGACGAAGCCTCGGCAGCTTCGGCCCTGGTCGGCACCTCGATGTCGACGTCACCCACGATCGCGAGCCTCGCGTCATCAGCTGTGAGCGATCAGGAGCAACAAGAGTCTCTGTTGCATCGAGCCGCTCGGACCGGAAATCTCGTAAGTCACCCAGAATCGATCTTGACCGATTACAATTTATTCATTGCTATCCCGGAATCAGGTATCCAACTGCTTTTCGTTTTTCGAAAAAAATATCTGAGAGACGTACCATAGCGACCGGAGTAGTTTCGAACAGCTGAGCGGTCGGAAGGCCAGACAGGAAGAGAATTAGGATTCAGGAGGAATCATGAATCGTCCGACACTGGAAAGAGCTACGGAAAGTAAAATACGTATAAGTACTCGTCCGATTGCGGAAATGGCTCCGAACGACGCTGTCGTGGAAGGAAAGCATGCCGAAATTCCGATCGTGGAAAATCCCTCCCACATCTTTGCACTTCGAGCGACGTTGAGCACCGAGTGCAACAACAACGTCGACAACATCTGCGATTAGCGCGATCAATGGCGCCGCTTCTGAGGCTCTCCACCAGTTACATCGACAACAACGACCTGCCCGAAGTTCCATTCGTCTTTTCCCCTGCCCGCTAAACCCACGCGCAGCGTCCAGCTCCCCGTTGCGGCCTTGCGAGCGTAGGCGTATGCGAACGCCCAGCGGCGGTTCTTTCTTCTGTTCACTTTGCGGTGGCCGAAACCTCTGCGTGAACGTCTGCGCATCTGCGAGGTCTGCGGGGCAGTCCTGCAGACGGTCCGACAAAAGCATCGATCGCCGTTTCCACACACTGGCCGTTCGAGGTCGACCGATGCACGCTACGATCTTTTGTAGCCGGTCTCCTGTCGACTTGGTTGCATGCTCCCGCTGCCGACGCTCGCCTCCTCATGAGTTACCACCGCTGCCGTTGCTCCCGCTGCCACGGCTGCTGCTCATGGCCAAAGTCCGAGCCTCTTCCTCCCGCCCGAAAGGAACTTCAACCGTTCGCGTAGGCGACAGGGACGCTCGTTGACCGAGAAGGATCGGGGGCGAAAAACGAGCCGCTGAGTAAAAGATGGGGCGGAGAGTCAACAGAACAGCGGCTTAGGGAGGGCACAACCGGCGGCGTCGTTGGTCGTGCTGCTGCTGCTGGTGGTGAGTAAAGCCGCCCAGCAAGATAGATGCATTGACTTCCAATAAAGAGGAACTCCGTAGGGAGTGACTGCTCGTCGGCCACTCGACCAACGAGCCAGAATGACAGCCGAGCTGCGGACCGAGGGTCCAGGTCCAGGCGAGGGGCTCTCGTCCCGGACTTCGTCTATTCGGGGACGGTGGGACCGGAGCTGTGTGGTGTTGTCTGAGCCGATCCCCGTTCCGCCCCTCCCGTCCGGGCTGCGAACCCGAAACTACCGCTGGTGTCCCTCAGAACGGGTTCGCTACGTAGAGCCTGGCATTATACCGGAGAGCGCTGCGTGTGATCGCTGCCTGCGGCGCTGCGGCTATAATTTTTGTCGAGGTAGGACCTCGGCATGAAACAAAGAGATTCCGTCCCGGGGGGACCGGAGTCCCGTTTCGGACTCTCTCGGCAAAGTTTCCGATCGCGTTCGGTCGCAAGCCTCACACTCCGCGACCGACGTCGTCGTCGGCTCTTGACGTGGCCCGGAGTGGGCTTACGATTCAATTCCATGAATTCTCGATCCTTCGGTCCGGGTGGGTTTCCGTGATTTTTTTTGGTCGTCTCTCACGTTCCGTTCCGGCGGGTTGTCGACTGTTCGTCGGCTCGGTCGTCCGCTTCGTCACCCATCCGGTTGTCCGCATTGTCGTTTCCGTGCTGCGAGTGTTGCTCAACGAGCAGCGAACTAGAAGAGGGGGAGCTGCCACGACTTCATGATGGTGACAGTGATGCCGCCGGCCGTCTTCGCAGCGGCACCGACGACAGAGGTGGCGATAACACCGGGAGAAGGTCTGGGCCGTTTATGCTCGCCGCCGTGTTTGCCCGACGTCGTCCTTCCCAACGGTCCAGCCGTCGGCCTTCTGCTTCGACGACCAGGTCCCCGCTGCCACTCGCTTTCCTTCCACCAACAGAGAAAGCGCGAGAGAGGAAGGGCGCTAATAAAGAGCAGACGTTGGTCGGTGCCAAGCGGGCGGCTTCTTCTTTCCTCACTCGTCTTTTTTTTGTGTCGCTCCACCCTGCCAGTGCGCTCGGTCCTGGGGCTGTCGAGCGAGGAAGCGGACGGACGGTTCGGGAGCGGGTTGGCAGCAGCGACGGTGGTCGTTCTTTTCTTGTTCTCTTCCTTGGCCATCTTAACTCGTCAGCCCTTGTCGTCGTCGTCCTCGTCGCCGTGGGCGGGCTTCGCCCCCGCCCCCTATTCCCTTCTCCCCGCCCTCCCGAAGCTCCGTCGTCTTCGGTGGCGTCGTTAAGGCGCTCGTCGTCTAGTCGCGCTCCCAACTAACCCATTCTACCCTTCCCGTTCGCGCCGTGGTGCTCTACTGACAGTGAGCCGAAGAAGCGGAAAGAGCCATCCCACAGGTGGCTGATAAATCGCATCGATCCCTTTGCGGCCACTCCTCCATTCTTTCCCGGTGCGACTCACCCGTTTGCTAGGCCCCGGCCCCCGCTTCCCCTCTCCCCTCCCGAAAACGGAGAAACGATCCTCCGTCGCTACTCCTTCCCGCTCGTCTGCCCCCGGCTTGCCTCCGAGGCTGATCATCGGAGCGGCGGCGGCGGCGGCGACGACGACGACTTCGGAGGTAACGGTGTGGTGGCGATGGTTGAGGAAAGTGGTGATGGCGGGGGAAAGTAGCGGTGATGGCAGCCGCCGCCGCCGCCAACGTGATAGTCGACGGCTGAGTACTATGTGGGTCTCTGTGTATGTGTGTGGGTGGTTGGTGGGTTGGTTGGTTGGGCGAGTGAGTGAGTGTGGGTGTGTGTGTGTGGAGAAGCCGAGTCGAGGCGGGTACGAGACAGCGACGACGAGGGGGGCGAGTCGAGAGCGGCAGAGGGACCAGCGAGCAGACCGACCGACAGACCAACCGCTCGTTCGCTACGGCAGCGGCGGCGGCTTTGTCAAGTGGTTCGGTGGAGAAGAGGAGCGATCGCCGCCGTCCTCGTCGTAAAAGAGAGTCAGTCGGCTTGCGCTCGGGCGGCCCGCGGGCCAGCTCAGGAGCGCGGGACGGGGGACTCGGGCGACGGCGCTCCAACTCCCCATCCAGTCAGCCATTCAGCCAACACGGGAACGAGGGAGGGGGAGCGAGCGAGCGAGCTGTCAAGGGCAGCAGGGCGTCGTAGAGCGTCCGAGTGTACGACTCCTGTCTGACTGAGCCCCGAAGGCGGCAAGAGGAGAGAAAAAAACGAAGCAAGCGGTGGCGCGACACGGGGGAGGGGAGGCAGGAAACGCCGGCCGGAGGAGGGGAGGGGACGGAGCAGACAGGCTGGCTGGGGAGGAGAGAGCTCCCTCCTGAACGGGGGCGAGCAGACAGCCGGGGGAACAGCCGAGCAGCTACCCCCTCGGGACTCCCGCGATGACCACACTTGACACGGCCTTCGTTCCATAGCAGCCGTTCGCTTTCTCTGCTGCTGGGGTTCGAGGCACAGTTTCGTAGGGGGAAAAAGCTAACAGAATGAACAACCGACGACGACCGGCGGTGGCAAGGGCACATTCTTTGGATGGCCACCAAACGACCAACTGAGTGACCGGGGGAGCGAAAAACTTCGGAAAGCAGCGCAACTTATATCCTCGGCGTAGCTCTCGGAAAATACGCGACGTCTCTCACAATGCCTCGGAAATTCCACTCAGATCGCGAAGATGGGAGGAGCATCTGTATACGATCATCCAAATTGTTGAACATGCGAATGATTTCGGATTTCGAGTTTTTTCCCCTCATGGAATTCGGTGTTTTCTTTCTCTTCATGATAATTGCTTGATATGCCCCGATGAACACATAAGTGATTGCGTAACATACGGCCGCAAGAATAAGCTCGAATTCGTAGCTGGAGAAGCAGACGATTTTCTAACCTCCCGCAGTCACATCTCGGATGCTGACTCCCAGAGATAATATTTCTCTAGAGGGGTGCTCCCTGCTCCCAAGCTCGCTGGAATCCGAGAAGTCTGATCTGAAATTCTTCTTCCAGGAAATGGTAAATTTCTGTCTGGAACGCTGCGGCGAGGTAGACATCAATCAGAAGGGTCGGAGTAATACAACGGCTCTCCACGAAGCAGCTGCGAACGGTTTCGTGACCATCGCTAGAGTTCTGCTGGAGAAAGGTGCCCACACAGAATCGGAAACCGTGACTGGACTACGGCCGATTCACGAAGCTGCTGCTAAGGGCCACACCGAGGTAAGGGGACCGATTATATTTTTCGAAGGGAGTTTCTTGTTCTCCCTCCCCCGACGAGTCATCTGGTGTATTAACTTCGGTGAATGAGTATCCCTAAATTTTTCATACCTCCTCAGGTGGTCAGATTGCTGCTGTCGTTCGGAGCAGAGGCGAACGCCAAGACGTATTCGGGCGAGACTTCTGCGAATATTGCGGGAATGCTCGACTTCAAAATTATCAAACAATTACTCGAGGAGTTTTGCGAAGACAACTCGTTCGTTGACGAGCAGGGCGCTATAGACAACAATATTCCGTCGAAGCGACGACCTTGGACATTTTTCGGAAACGCCACTTGTATTGGTGAGTGGGACGCAACACTTTTCCGAAGATCCTCCGTGATGAGAGATGGAGATCTTGATTTTGGGTGGGGATTCGCACGACTCCAAGCAGAACGATTCTCCCTCTCCCGCAAAGGGATCGAGCTGCCGTGGGGCAGTTCAGACAACAGATGAACGAATTCCCGTCATTTTCAGATCGTTGTCATGCCGAGGCGGGTTTCGATGTTCTTCAAGGCGCTCCCGACTTTTCTCTCGTCCCGGAGATCGCGATCCGAACCTTCAGGGTTCTGCGACATTTGGATGACGGCTCTCTGCAGTAAGTACTTCAGCTCCATGCTCATCTGTGGAAGAACCCCTCGGAGAAACGACCTCTTCAAGCGTTCCCTCCACTCGCCCTCTTCCAAAGCGACTTGTTCGGCGCACAATGGGTTGCGGAAAATGTTTCGATTCGGAGAATCTGCGAACCCGTCGGAGTGAATCATATGCTTGATTATCTTGTACTACCCTCACATATTCTCATGGAATCCCGGGGTATGAGCCTTGTTCGGTGATCATCCCGCCTCACGTCCACTGAGTGGCTTTGTGTCTCGCGGTTCCCATGGCGTATCGATGGGCGGTCGATTTGGGAGATCTTATCGCGGTTCCCAAATCTTGTGGAAACTCTTATTTCTCCCAACGATTCGGAGGGAGATCGTTTCCACTTCATTGCTCGACAACACTCCTCGAGCGGATTGTGATACCTCCGAAGAATGTCCTACGCTCGTGACGCATCCGTCGGAATTCACGTCCGGTCTTCCCGTGTAGGAGGGGAGGTCAAGAACACTCGCCGGTAGATTCGAGAGATGCGGCGTTGATGCATACTTTGCTTCTGAGTTGATCCTTGGAAGCAGTCTGCAGTCTCTCATTGGTGATGAGGAGGAAGTTGTTCCTTCCACCGTGAGAAACGTTTTGCCGCAGACGCTCGAACAAACGGGATGGGGCTCTGCGACGGTAAAATGAAGCGAATTGACGGGATGTGAATTTTTCAACCGATTGCCGGACTTGGACCTACGAGGACTCGCAGACGGTTCGCTTGAAACACTGCGAAGCTCGACAAGTACGCGGGATTGATCCGTTTTCCTCCTTCTCGGCGCTCTCATTCGGGCCGATCAAGGGAACGGAGACGGAAGTTTCCAGGAATTGACGGAGCCTATCGATAGCGTCGACGTTTTTCAAATGCGATCCAGTGTGCATGTTGGGATGGAGAAGCATCAGAATAACCCATCGGATCTGCTCGAAGCTCATACGGATCAGAGCTGGGGCCCCTTCTCGGACTTCTTACCTAACGGAATCTAAAATGAATAACATGAAATCATTTTTCTCTCACAGAACGTTGACCTGCGCTCATCTCGACGAACTGATTGCGTCAACGGGTCTTACAGACGTCGGCGTCTTCCTGAGGACGATTGGCGACGAAATTTCGAACCAAATCGTTTTCAACGTCGACAAATCGATGGAGTCGGACGCGTTCTCCAAATATTATCCTCATTTGGCTAACGTTCGCGCCATTCGCTGGGACGAGGAATCGAAGCGGCTCCTCAGTCAGGCTCTGTCTCGTGGCCAGGAGACAGTTCAAGCGGGACCTTCAACTCCACCTCAAGCGCCGCCGCCGACCTAATCCTGTGATAGCTCTCTAACTAAATCCTGGAAAGCGATACAGCCACAACGTTTTAAGTAAGGTCGCGCTATCGAGATATTCCTCATGAACGCATACCTGTCGCGCCTAGTAAGCTGATCGCGTATTCGTTGCTTTTTCACGACGTTAAACGTTTTGTTTTGCTGCTTTCGTGCAGACCACGAGATTTCTGGTCACTGGATCTGGCCCCAGCTCCCTGCGAGAAACTCCGGGAACGGATATCGAGATCCTGAGCATTCGGACTCAGTGACACGAAGAAAGTCAACCGGGGACGAGACCTCGAAAGAATAGACCTTCGGTCTCGAATGAAACGTCTCGTCTCCGCGATACCCTGCGAATTCGTGGACGTCTGTCAGTGGATCCAAGGCCTGGCAGAGCGGAGAAACCGTGGAAATCGAGAATCGGAGGCGGAGGGGAAGAATATCCAATGTACGATTCTGGAGAATGATGAACTTGGAAGAAGTTTTCAGAGCCGCTATATCACAAGAATATTGATACCGTGAATGCATCGGACAGCGATGAGGGGCATCGGGGAGAAAAGCAGGGCTAGAATCGAGACTGGAAGTCCGCCATGTTGTTAATACATATTCATATATGAGAGGAGAGATACACCGGATCTTTATCTTCATTTGGTAAATGCGACACAAATACACATCCGAACCGGTGCGATCGGTTGACCTCGTATTGTATCTAGGAGTTGAGACGGACGGATCCCGGTTTTCGAAGATGTTTCCGTAGGCTTCGTGCAGGGAGAAACAGCGAAATCTCCCATGAAAACAGCACGTTCTACATACTTATCTTAACACGGGGTGAGCGAGCCAGCAAGCGAAAGAGCACGCTATCTACTTATCGATCTTATTACATACCCATCTATCTCTGATTCCGAATAGTGATATCGCGCATTGACAGGTGATCCTATTGTGATTTTCGCTGTACATTCCTGTATCATATCGTGTACATATGGAACAAACTCTAAGATACATTCGGAAATATTCAAGAGTGGGTGAATAAATCCCACTTAATAAAGGAAACAACGATCGTTTCAAGGAGTGATCGATCAGAACTTCAACAAAAATCAGCAGCTGCCTAAATAAATGTAACAAGAAATGAAAATCAATCGAGGACTTTTGAATAGATTCACCCGAAATTTTCCAGGATGCAATTGATGGCACAGTGGGGTCAGCGAAGCCGACCACAGTCCAGCCACTCTCTGTCCAGACAGATGCACTACAAGCTCGATTTTATCACACTGGATTTCATGGCCCCTGGCTTTTCCGACTCGCTTATATCTTCCCCTCGCGAAGTAAAGTGAACTCGATGATATTACCACGAATCGCTTCGAATTGAATCATTTCGAGGTCATCAAATCTCGACTATATCATCTCGGAGACCTAATGAAAAAATAAGGTAACACCTCCGAAGTGCCCGTGCTTGAGAAATTTTACCGAGAATGACTCCTATATCGTACCCAGGCAAAATGGGATTGGGTCGGAATCATTAGACATTACACATGAAAAGACTTGGTACAATGATTTACCCCTAGAGCGGCCGCTCGGAGTCGGGACAGTCGGGCAAAATCCAAGCATTCACGACTTTCCCGATCCCCCAAGCTTCGTGACGGATGCTGAAAGCGTCGGCTCCTGGGGCTGCGGTAGGAATCCGGCGAACGCAGAGTTTCCTTTCGGGAACCTTCGTCAAGCTCCCGATATTCGATCACGGAAAACGCAGAAAACCCCAGTGGATGACGAATGTACATCTAATAAATTCTGGAAGAATTTCCGAATATCGAAAGTCCGGAAATGTGATATAATTGAATTCTCAGAAAATCTAGGGAAAGTCGATTATATCACCTCCTATTGCACGAATCAGGTGATACAACCAAGCTTTCAATGTGCGTCTATCAGACACTGATATCGAATTTATTGCGCACAGGAGTAGATGGGGCAGAATTAGTGGTGAGTGATGTCAATTTATTTCTCAATCAGAATAGTCAGGTTCATGAAATGATTGATTCTCGTCTCATGATCTATCACAGATATACGAAACGTTGTACGATTTGTAGAATATAATTCCTAGAGGAGGCACTTCCGCGATATTCCTCAAGTCCTTCAACTTCGACTTTTTTGAGAGAGGACCCATCGTCTTGAGTCAATCTCGGGATGGCCTCAGTCATTTTGCTGTATGATATTGATCGCGTCTTTCGGTCTAAAAGTGATTGAGTATAAGGACCGAAAAGTCGTCGAGTATTACGATCTAGAGACGCAGAGCCCTAATCTTGAGTATGCTTTGATGGGAATTGGTCTAAACACGATGCGCAGCTGCGAAACGCCGCTCGCGTCTGCACATCCGAGGGAATTTTCATGCATGTGAATGACTTTGTCGGCCCTCAGCACATAGTGAGCTATGGCGACTTGACCTCCGGCCACCAAGATTGTTTCTGAGGCTCTTCTTTCTTGGCCAGCTGGTTCCTTATCGCCCAACGTAGTTCTCGTCGCGGCTTTTCTCCAGGAATAGGAAACTTGTCCCAAATCTTCTTGTATTGGTAGTAACGCACTTGTGGAGAGCATTTCGGTCTGGTGGGAACCCAAACACTTTGATTTGGTCTGAAATTAGCTCTCCATTAGTTTTCGGCCATTTGGTGTCTCGATGGAGATATTCCGGCGTCTTGTTCGACGAGGGGGGAACAGCCTCTTATGTCCTCCTGCTCGCAAACTCATTCACGACACACTAGCAGGAGCTCGAATTTTTCCAAAAATCCGAAACATTCCGATTTTGTCACCCGGAGACTTGGATACTTCGGAGAGGAGGAAATTACTGAATACTATCAATAGTTGAAGAGATCGAGAATCCCTCACCCGGTGATCAAGTCCATCTGGGTTTTGCATTCGTGCCGCACGAAATCCTCGAATGCTTTCCTCTTCTTGCAGTACTGGGATGCTTGAGGATCGTTCCTACCGAAGTCGGAGCTGACCGAATTCGCTCGACGCCTGTGAGCTCTTGAGTTAGGGGAATGAGGAGACGATCTCCGACAGAAAGTTGACTGTGCGAACTCGGGGTTGGCTCTCAAGAAATCGTTCTCGGACGTCAGACGGTCCGCCAGCTCACGTCCCCCGTCTCCGAGGCTGAAGTTACCGAAATCCTGGGAATCTGGGGATCGAACGAACAAGGTTGTGAGAAAGAATACCGCCTTCAACCTATCGAGGGGATTCGCAACTTCTCATCCGTGAACTTGCTCACCTTCGCTTGAGACGTTGGCGAGAGCCATCAGCCTATCGATATCGCTATCGGTCGCTCCATCAGGTCCACGATGTCCGGGTCCGATTTTCATATACGACGAGCATGTGATGTCGAAATCCGCGCTCTCGCTCGTGGACTGAGAGGCGACCTCCATCCTGTAGAGGGTAGAGGCATGGTGTCGAAGAATGATTCCTCTCAGCTCAGATCATTCTCTTCGACCATTATCGGCAGCTCCATCCCATAACTAGACTCGTAAGAAGTGCTTAGGAGGGCTACTCACTTGTCGGCTGGCTGTTGACGACCGTTCTCTATCAAACGGTCTAGTAAGGTGTCTTTTACTTGATCCTTGAATTCCCGGAACCTCGTCTCATCCAGGAGCTCGAAATTCTTGAGCCTCAGCACTTCTCGGATGTCTTCATCGGTGATCCCTAAGAGAGCGTCTTCGAGGTCTGTGATAGCTCTGTCGACTCGAGCCTCGAAACCGTTGAACGCTTCTGCCATTCCACCAATTATGAAAAGCGGAACACTATGCTACCTGAAGCACGAAAATTCGGGAGGTTTTCGGGTTGGAAGTTTTCGGAACAGCCCACTGAAGGGAACGCATAGTATCGAGCGCGTAATTTTCTGGGGACGAAGCTGTTCTCTTACGGGGGCAAGCGTGATTCCTCGAGGCTTCCGAGGTCGGGAGCTGCGTTTTTCGGTGAAGGTTCCCAAGAGGACAGGAGGATGGCTGGCACAACTCTGAGATCCGAACGTCATGTGAGTTTGGAGATACACATCATGTCTGAGCCCAACCCCTTCATCAACAGGACAGATGTCTTCCCGTCAAAGACTCAGCGAGTCAGCTGTTCGAGCCCGCGTTGCTCCGCCGCGCCGGAGTCCCAGGCTGTTGATGATTGTGATCTATGCTGCTCCTGCATCCCGGGACGAGCAAATGAGTCCCAATCTTGACGATGGTAGGTTCCCCGACAGGCAGAGTATTGACACCGCCAGAATGACTGACTGGATGAGAGACGCCCCATATCGTCTCATTGTGTTCACAGCATGAGCGACTTGTGTCCTTCTCGGTCAATCACCGCACAGACGATTGCAGATCTCTAAAGTACCTATGAATCGAGGCTCCGGCTCCATTGTCAGATCCATGCAAAAACACAAAGTTTTATCAACAACCACAATATGGGACCAAGAGCCATCATTCTCTCCTACGTCTTCTCCGCTGTCTAAGATTCCGTCGTGTATTCTGCTCGAGAGTATATTTTTCGAAGCGGTAACCCGGATCGAGCGCTACGGCATCGAATGGGGATTCCCCGGGATCTGTCTCCAGAGCATCTCGATCTCTCTGACTCAGACCGCCTCGACGGCCGGCTTTCCTTATACAATTCTGGAAGGCTGGTGAGACATAGGTGAACAGGGCGCATTGGTTTTCCGTGTCCTGAAATGGAATAGGTGCCACAATGAGTCCAGGAGCAGAGCGCTGTAACCACAGCGGGAACTTTGTAGTGCTCTCGGATATCCACAGTCGAATCGTAGCATTCGCGCGGATGGCCTCGGGAGCTCGACTCACCGTGAGTTCGTTGACTTCGATCGTGACCCTCTGATCTTCTTTCGCTTTGACGCCCGGGGGCGACCACCGATCGTCAACGAACTCCAACTCGGCGGTGATGGATTCCAGCTCGTGGTGATGCGTCCCTGCGTACAACCCCGCGAAATCAAGTTCCACGAATAGCGGGTGATCCCGGAACTCCCGCTCATTGGTTGAGCATATCCGATGCGAGGCTTTCCGGACGAGGCAATCCTCCATGAACTGTCTCATCTCCGGCGAGATCGGCCTCTCTCCCGGGTACGGTATCGGGGCGTTGGCCACTAGATCCTTGAATTCCTTGCTCTTCTTCTCTCCTCGAAACGGAACTCTAGCGAACACGACATTGAACGCGGTGACTCCCGCGGCCCACCAATCGATAGCTCTTCCGTACGGATGAGCTCTTAAAACCTCGGGGGCAAGAAAGGGCACGGTTCCCGCCGTCTCCTTATCTCGGAACTCGTGAGCAGATCTCTCGAAGTAGAACTGCGACATTCGCTGCACAAAATTCGCCAGAGATATCTTTACCGTGTCGAAATCGATCAACTTGATCCTACATCCCGGCATGATCATCATGTTTGAGGGTTTCACGTCCCTGTGGATGAAGCCCCGGCTGTGCATGTGCAGAATTGCTTCGCCGAGCTGGAAGAGGATCAGACGGGAACTGGCTTCGTCCAGACCGCCTTCCGCCTTGACCACTTTATGGAGATCCACTCCGCGGATGTACTCCATTACGGTGACGTATGCCTGAGCAGTCGTGAACGTCGAGTAATATTTCACCACAAACGGATGGCATATCACGCTGGCGGTCACTTTATCAACACACGCATGTTTTTCCTGCTTGAATTTCGAGATCGGCACGAGCTTCACCGTGCAGCAGACCGTTTTACCGAAGATTGCCTTGTAGACGGCTCCGAATCCACCGGCACCTGGAATTGATTGGCCTCGATTGAGACTTGATCGAATCGTTCGCTGTCCGCGAGCGGCGAACCTCGAGCCCCAAGCCAGAAGCCCACTCTCCTGGAGAGCGCCGATTTTGAGAGGCCCTTATGATGGTGCTTGAGGGTGTGCGTTTTCCCATCTATCGATATCGCTGTCTTGAAGAGTCGAAAACGCCACAAACCGAGGAGTTTCTCCTGCTGGAAGTTCTTCATGAGAGGGATCATGTTTTGGGGATCCAACGGCTCCACTTTGTCCCTCACTTTGAGCTCTTGCCTCACCCATGACCAGCGCGTCAGGTTTGCGCCAGCGGCCTCTTCCAGCAGGTTGGCGACTTCCTCGACTATTGTGAGCAACTCCGCAATCATCAGAGCCATGTACTGCAAACGGTACGCTGATTCTCTCACTTTGTTGATACGCTTGGAACCTGACGGGGAGTGGGAGGTACCCCAGGACAAACCGATCAGGATTGAGAGCAATCACACGATGCTACCTACTCACCGTTGCCGAGTGCGGGACGCTGGTCTCGAAGTAATCCTGAATGTAGAAAACATTCTCGAGATTTTCTCGAACGTGCTCATATGAAAGTGTGCGAGACTCAATTTTCCGCAAGAAGTCGTAGATCACCAGACTGATTTCCTCACAACAGTAATGGTCTTGGGGGAAACGCGTCACACGGATTCGCTTAGTTGTCTTCATCAAAGTGGAAAGTTCTTTCCGCATGACCACGAGAGCCCTATGAATGCCAGAGTGTTCCAGCCAGAAAGATTCATGGTCGACTGGATACCCACAAATCGAAAGGGGCGTCGCAAAATTTTCACCTTGTTTCTCTCTTCGACACTCGCTTGAACCAAAACTTTCTTTGTTTGTTCTTTCGTTTGAAACCATCCAGTTCTAAGATATAATTGTGAGCTTTCGTGTTCATCCAGGTGAGAGAAGATTCTTATCCATTCACTTCAATCTTGTCGAGCTACAGCGCAAGGGATCACTCACGCTTTCGACGATCCGCGATGAACGGGTTGAATTTCCGAACGGTTGGTTGATCCCTGGGACCACTGTAGTTGAGTAATGACGGTCCAGCAGTCGAACCCACCGATTGGTAACCAGTCAAAAAGCGGCTGTTGAGGGGGTCTGGAAGGAAAAAGGGGATCGTCGTCTTCCTCAAGGGACACCTTATGAGGATATGCGCAAATATATGGACAGCACCTTTATCGAAGTCAATGTTTGCAGTTCCGATGTTCTCTGCAACTTCGCCATCTGCAAGCCAGAATTATTAATGCTACTTTCAATACCTCTAGAGCTCCCTCGGAAAATGACTCAGAACTCCTTCACAATTCAAAGCTTAGAGCTTATTGCTTATACCCCCAACCCTCGATAGTGAAATCGACTGCGTGACAGAGATTTGGAGAGAGAGAGAGTTATAGGATCCAGATTTCCCAGGAATTGATGAGAATGTCACCTGGGAGTTCGGCTTGGAAAGTCTCCATGCCGGCATCGTCGTTGTTCCTCCAAATCAAAATATTTCGGTAAGCTGATGGGACTATCCGAACTTCGCATCGTGTTCCCGCGGAGGGTGAGCAAGGAGTCGGGCGATCAATACAACGATATTCATTTTAATTTTTATTAGAATAGAAATGGCAGTGGTCAACTCTGGATGGTATTACCGGGCCGATTCGAGGGCTGCGCCCGTGAGTATAGAGGCTGGCGTACCCCTTCCGTCAGCATTTAATCGAGATTCGCTCTGAGTAAGCCCCCTATATTATTCCGGAAACCTCAAAACCCGACGATCCCTGACGTCGGAGCGGCGCTAGAGTCCGTCAGCCTTCTTGGGGACGATCTTCTGGCGCGATGTCAGCGTCGCTCACCGGCTCCTCGACCATTTCGACGTCGTCTTTTGCGTCGTCTGCGAATCAATCGATTAGTCGATGGGTTAGACTTGGGGACAAGCATTCGATATCGATTTTAGGCCATGCATTCGGTTAGTGGAGTAAAGCTTCCTGTGCTCATCGCGAAGCATCGCAATACGACTTGGAGTTTCCCAACTTTGCTTCCTATCGAGCTCGGCCAATTGGGAAGGGGGGTGGGTTCCGCGGGATTCGGCTCGCGCCCGGAGACGGCAGACGTGAGGAGCCATCCAGGAGGGAGGGCTCCCATGAATCGGAGTGTTCCGCGCCTGAACCCGAGCCCACGATCTCGGCATCAGGCCTGGCTTCTAGCAAAGAGACTGTAGACTCCATCCTTCGGTATGGAGCGAGCAGGCTTCGGTTTCGTGTGAGCGCCCATTATGAGCGCCCATGGCGGAAAAACTACCGAGCTTCATAAAGATTCAGTCAATTTTTACAATTGCTGGAGGAATTCCGCGATCACTTTTATTCATATGTATACTCGCTCCCCCATGCTTTATTGCGGAGAATTTCACAAGATGTCAAAGGAAAACTGACAAATCACAACAGAGACGAGGAATAAGAAACATCGAGAGAGCCAGGCAGACGATGACAGTCAGGGTCCGAAGACAATATTTGTGCTAGAAGTGTACAGGCCATATTCGATTTGGGAATCCGCTGCAACGACTTTGCTGAATCCAACATAAAGTTAATTACCGTCAGCTTCTTTCTCCGTACTTTCCGGAGTTTCTTTGACTTTCTTTTTATCTTTTTTAGCGGATTTTTCCTTTCGGAATGCTTCGAGAGCTTCCTGGAGTTGGGGAAGAAACTCCGACAGTTCCATGTCTTCCATGGCCGCCATGACGTCCTGACCCGTGACCGTTTTCCGTTTACCTGATGGAGAGAAGGGGAGCAGTGAATCGTCTCGCCCGGCACAGGTCGACTCCGGAAATTTCACGCGCTCAGCTGCGGCATCTAGAATCACCGATACGCGTATCGCCGTCGAAGGGCTCGATTCCCGCAATATGGAGGGAGTCCGACCTACTTTTTGTGGCGAAGTTATTGGAGAGAGACGTCGTGTACAGGACAAAAATCGCGGCAGCCTTCGCTAATGCAGCCCTTGCTTCTTTGGAAACTGCTACTCCTTCAGGTAGAGACTCCTTCAATAGTCGCGCAACCACCGAGACTGGGAGGTTGAAATCTTCAGGACGCTCTGCCATCTGCAAGGGACAGACTCCAGTGGAATGCGAGTGGCTAGTGGCGTTCCCGGCGGAAAATCCGGGATCTGAGGATTCATGGTCAATCCGAAAGAAGAAAATACAATTCTGCATGAGCGCCAGAAAGAACCGTCCAGCGCAACTTCACAATGTCACTTACTTTCTCTGTGTGAGTCTATTCTCGTCGGGGACCCCAACTCCAAAGAGATTCGGAAATCAGGCGACTGACGAAGAAAAAGTTTTCGTTTTCGAACGAAAATTTTCGAGCGGCAAAAACTGAGTGTGCTGCAGCGACCTGTGTTGCTGACTGCTACTGCGCTTACGCGCTGCTGCCGACCGCCGCGAGAGCTGCTCCCGGTTGGTGGGCTGAGGCCGACCCAGCTCTTCTCTAAGATCAGAACGGATTCAAGAAAAGAATTCTACTGCACTCCGCATCTTCCATCGGTGATTTTCTGCACCCGATTCGCGAGAAGTCCTTCGTATACGACCCTGTTCTATGTTGCAGCAGGAGAATCGGGTATCTTGACTTCCGGGTGTCGGGTCGCGGTGAGCTCACCCTCGCCAACAGGCTCCTCCACATCTGCGAGCATAAACAGAGCAGACGACGGAGAGGAAATCTGCTGTCAGCTGTCAGTAGAAGCGAGGAATATACTCAACAATTGCAGGGTGCCACTCACCTACACCTCCCTGATCTTCGCGGATCGGGCTCCCCTCAATGGAACCTAGATGAATTGGTGGGTAGATTTCGCACCGAGCTCGAGCTTGAATTTACACGTGGGTGCGCGTACCTTCATGCATGAGAATCACAAGTCGTCCTCGGAGATGGTACTTGTCAGTCAAACCATATGGTGTCAGATAGATGGTAAGCGTATTCTTCCACCGGAACTTGGCATGGAGGTAATCCATTCCCCGGTATTCTCGTAGGAACCCACTCAAACGGCTCTCAGGCCGTCCCGGGAAAGATACCCCGACGAGTCCCGATGCTGAAGGGGGAGACTCAATCGACGACATAGTCTCTCGGTACCACCGACTCGAGATAAACTCCAAAAAACTACACAAGAGTGCCAAAAAATACGAAGATATCATGCTGGGTGAGTGCTCAAGTCTCAGAGCTATCCGAAAGAGAGGAAACTAAATTGAAAACTCTTATGACTTACCTATGTTTAACACTGCGGTCTCCCTCCACTCTTAACAGCTGAATCGCAGTTATATGTGCGAACACATCTATTCGTTAATCTGTTATGTGGCTCAGAGCTCATGGAAGGCTCCATTCAGGCTCTGCTCGGTCCCCAAAGACAGTCTCGCAGATGCCTCTTCTTCCCTTTCCAGCGCTGTACCAGTCCGAGAAGAAATTATGCTCCGATCTGGTGAACGATGATTTTTGTAAAGAGAATGACGACCTGCGGAGAACTATAGAAGAATGGTTATGCTACGCTTCCGAAATGGATCAGGCCGTCGAAGATCACGTAATTGCCTTGAGACGCTGCCTGGTTGACCCTCTGAAACGATACCAAGCTACATTCCCGGACGTTCAAGTAGCCCTGAAGAAAAGGGACCATCTCGTTCAGGAGCATCAGCGACTGGTTCAAAAAGTCGCCAAGCTCGAGACCAAGGAAGCCACCGGTGAGTAGACATCCGAACTCAATTCCCGGCTTCGGAGACAGAGTTCGCGGTATCGAACACGAGGAGAGAGGTATCCGCGGCTAAAATCAGCCTGCATGTATCTTTCAAGGAAACAACATAGCCAAGCTCGCTGAGTGCCGCCGTCAGGTCGAAACCTCTACCCTGGAGCTGGAGACTCAGAACGCTCTGCTGCGTTCCGAATTGCCAGCCATTTATGAACACAGGGTGGAGTACATGGAACCCTGCCTGCACGCGCTAATCATCTCCCAGGTAATTTCAAATTCCTAATTTTGAGAATTCATCGGAACCGAGGCATGATCCCCGCATTGATTTCCTTCCGTCGCTCTCCCGTAATCGGAGAGATTCTCCGAACGGAAATCCATCGTCGAAAACTATCGAGACGCCCAATTGGTCGTGCATCGAGGAGGAGGCAGCTCGGAGCCATTCCGAACACATTTTTCCCCGATATTCATCGCAGAGCTTTTTGCTCTACCTCGACACAGCAGACCTGATATCATTTGGCCTACGGACCTAATGTCGATCACGTCTAGTTGGGAATGAACGGCCGAGTAGGCCTTAACCGACTTCGGGGGTAGAAATTCTTGCTCGAGAAGCGGAAATTCGCTTAGTGGCTCGTCGGCAGGAGATGGAGAGGTAATTGGGGCTTCGATCATGAGCGGCTGTCAGAGCGGCTCTCTCCGCCGATTTCCGCAATCCCTGGCTCTCTCCCGCCACGGGGATGAGGGAGAGGAAGGAAGTTTTTGACCGAGAACTTCTTCGAGCCATCGGACTGCTTTAGAAGTTACTTCTCGAGATAGAGAGGGAGCTCCGTCGAAAGACCCCTTAGGTCCTGTGCCGAGCGTTTGCTCCTCCCCGCGTACCGGAAGCTCCCCGGATCTCCACCCTGTCGAGAAAATCTTTAAGCGAAATGTCGGAATAGGTATATTCGCTCGCGGCAGCTCGTAAGAAACTCCTCATCTCATCGCTCGGATAGATTGTAAATCCTTTTTGGGGCTGCATTCCCCGGATCGATCGTCGAACAATTAGGCGTAGCGGGTCCAGGAGGCTCAAGCGACTACTTGCTCAAAAGCGAGTGTCTTTACTGTAACTCCGGACTCGATCTGGAGTCAAAAACATCATTCCTGCTCCCCGGGCAGACATTCTAGCACATGGATCAGATTCACGGTAAAAGCCTATTTGATGGAGTAAATATTGGAATATCGATTGTCGCTTCGGGCTTCCCTGGAGGATTCCGTCTTGACGGTGGCGGGGCTACGATAGGAGAAGACGAGGTCGAATATCGAATTCAACTCGGAGATAAGGGCTTGCGAGATGATCGCGTGAGGATTCACAGAGGGATCTGCCAATATTTCGAAATCACTTTTCACTTTTTCTGTCTGACGAGGAGAGAAGTCCCCCTCTGACTATTTTTGTTTCGATTCCAGACGAAGCATTGGGGCGAAGCGACGTCCCGTCTGCAGAAATGCTTCCCGTCCCTCAACGAGAATTGCCGAACCGACGCTGAGATTTCCTTGTACCACCGCGACAAACTCAACGCCATCAAGGCTCTGTCAATCGTTGCCGGATCGGAGTGATGAACACAGTGTATGATACCAATATCTGATGTATAGGGGATCTCAACAGAACCACTGCACGCTCGTCAAAAGGCGCATGGATTGCAGTTGAGGGGACTAGTACGCTTTCTTCGTTCTCACTCATTTGTTCACATATCGCGTCAATGATGTGTTCATTAAAACAGTCAAGTAGGGCATATGGACGACGATCAATCTCCGGAATTATCGTGCAGGAGCCTTGAGAATCCCTCAGTTCTGTAGAAGCTCGTTGTGATGAATTCTCGGATACAGGAACAGCTCTATATGTCTACAGCTGTTCCCCCGGAACCTCAGCGCGAGGAGGTCGTCTATGCTTCGAGCGAGAGAATTCAACCCGCTCGTTCGCGAGACTTTTATTTATGGTTTTTATACAATCGTGACGCGTTTTCGATTAATTTCGAGAGCAGCTCCCAATTTATATGGAGGATAAGACTATGAATGTGATTGCGCAAGAGCGAGCGAAATTCTCGCGGATTACCCCAAAAATCATCGACTCACGGCGGTGCCAAGCGATTTTTCTATGGGTGTCATGTTTTATTCCAACGCCTTTGTGGCTCAGGATTTCGTGTAAGTTTTCGGAAAATAAACGGATCGCTTGCGGTAAACTCGGTCTATTCAATTTCTATCCTGCGAAGTCACTACGAGGCGTTCTTTGGCCAAGGAGCTCTGATAGTCGCATGGACGGGGGACCGGATCGGGCTCCATCACCCGCGTGTCAACATTCGTAAGGGAGAGAATCCTCGCTCAATTTCGCGGTGAATTCACTCCGATTGAGATCGGCTTCAACCGGAATCCTAGGGAGCTGTTGAGTGTACCTGACCATAATGGAGGGTCGAGCGGATTAGCGCAGGATCATGATCCTCCGACGGTCTCCCAGGCAACAACACCTTCAGCCTACTCGACGTAATCCGCTGGCGAGACGCGCTGGCGTCGTTGCTTGGCTCGAAATCCAGCGGGATTGTCTCGATGAACAAGAGAAACGGCTCCGGCCCCGAGGTCCGGTCATTCGAAGTGACTACTTGAGTCGAGCAATCCATCGTCGTCGATGTCCATACCGGGAAGCAGCCGCTTTGCAGTACTTCTGTGCGGCGACGTCCCACCCCGGGATTTGGGTTCCGCTGGCATTTTCGACTACGAACACGGCGCAACTTCGTCGGGAGAGTGCGTGACGAAGAACCGACACTTTTGAGAGCGCAGAAGCAGGAATTCGTTCGAGTCTGGTGGGTTCGAGTGAAGGCAATGGCTCTCGACAGGGTCCGGTCCCAACATGTCGTAGATACATGGCGGCTGGAACGGCAGAATCGAAGCCCGCAGATAATCCCCCCGCAGCTCGTGAGTCATTGACCAAGATTACGTCCACTCCGACCTTCGTCAAGGATATTCCCGAACCGTTGCGTCATTCTCTGTTTGCGGGGATCTCTCCACCGCGCCGCCGTGTCTCGACGTGGCTCGAGGGTCCACATCTGGTGGAAAGGGCTTCAGTTCCCGGGGGCGAGTGAGGGAGCTGCGGTCCGGTAGACTCCAACGTACCCCTACCCTGCGAAACTACAATAACAGAAGAGGAAAAGGTTTTGTTCCTAATCAACGTGTGGGGGACTCTCTCTGTTGTTTGTGGAGTTCTCGGACATTGCCCGCTGTGCGATCTCGCGACGTTATCAGCACGGCACTCCACGCCGATCGGCCGAAGGAGGAAGGAACCGTGTGACCGTACTTCAAAGGTAAGTCAACTCGTGCGAAGGGAATCACGTGTATGGACTTCGAGAAGCACGCGCCCCGTTGTTGAACAAACCGCCACGACCGCCTCGACGTCAAGTGTCGGAACATTCGACGGTGACTCCAGTAGAGTCTGAACGCCTACTCGGAAGGCTAGGGGGTTTGAGCTTCTGCAATATTCTCCGGAGAATTCCCGTCTCAGACGGTTCGACAGAGGGATCCAAACAATCCTTCGCTCCACTCGTTTGTTTGGTGAAACTTCAGAGCCTCTACCCTGACCGACTGACGGACTTTCTCGCCGCTTGTCTGAGCGGGTGCGGAGGGTGGCGACACTGCTCGACTATTCCCAGATTTCGCATGTTCGGCTCGACCGTTCGGAGTTGAACGGCTAACAATCCAAGCTAAGGTCTGGTATGTCTTCCTCCGGACCCTCTCATGAGAACGGCTGTTCCGTTAGATTGCTGCGTAACTTTCCCTGGTGGAGCGAGCTTTCCTCAGGATCGGAGCGCTTATTTCCTGCCAAGGAGCCTAAGGAGAAAAGCCTGAGACTCTTCGCGGATGTGCACGAGGTGACACTCTCAGTCCGCGCGGTCTAGAACTCTTTTCTCCTGGTTTCCCAGCAAACGAGCTCTTGTCCTCAACCCCGTCCTAATGATTATCGGCAGTCGAGAGCTTCCCCCGCGAGAGGAGAATCTGAACGAATAGATCGAGGATCAAGATACTGTGGAGAGAGCGGGAAGAGGATATGGTTCAAAATTGAGATCGGGAATCGGAGTGCTGTCTAGTTTCATGTGATGACAACACCCTGATAGTCGATGGGCTGTCTCGTATCATGAAGCCGCTTGTCGAGAAGATCTCTCACAGCAGGCAAAGTGGGGAGAAGTGATTAAAGTGGAAAACCGAGACAGTTTCCGTCGCGTCAGATCGTGTTAGTGGATCTCGGTAGGTAATTGTTAGGCTTGCCGGGGATGGTATAAAACGAATCATAAATAATTTACTGCTGCCTTGTGCAGATGAAAGGTCCGGAAGGAAGATCGGAGTGAGGTAGTGGTGTGCTGACTGGGAAGAATCCGCGCAGAATAGCTGACGACGGCGGAGTAACGTTTATACGTAGGCCTCATTCATGCTGTTGGCACGTATCTAGCACGCATACACACGGTTGCTAATTGTCCGAGTGCAGCGATACGATCGGCTAATTGCATTCATTGGCTTTGTGTGCGTTCAGAGTGTGCATTCATCATCGCTCCGCAGACTTTCCCGGTGTTCCGTCGCAAGCTTGTCCGACCGTCCGTTCGAATTGGCGGTCGCCGCCGTCGGTTTCCTTGTCTCGCACGCTCAAACAATCCACTCCGAGCTAATGAGATTCCGAGTCAACACTTAGAAACTTCGGTCGACGACGGAATTGGCTGGCGCCCCAGGAATGCGCCTAAGCGACTGGATACTCATCTGTCTGATCCCTCTTGTTCTACTGTGAGACTGATCCCGGGAGAGCGACCCGACGCATCGACGACGATCGCTTGACCGACCGTCACGCCTACGGGTCCTCCTTGACGTTCAGAGCCCCGCCAGGAGTTTGATCCGTCTCAAAGAGCCTGAACCACTCGAGAATTCGTCTCAATGACTGACTCATCGGGTACTAAGCACCCTCGAATCGAGTTCGCTCCTAATCCGCTCGAGAGTCCGAGTTCCGTCACGGGAGAAGCCGGGGAGAAGGACCGCCGCATTTCAGAGACGTTCGAGGAAAATTGGCGAGTATGATCCCTTTCCCGTTCGCTGGGACGGAGATTCCCGGAATATTACATTACCTAAACCGCAACGATTTCGCTGCAGAGGCTGACCATGACACGCTGGGAATGCAAACGCAACGGAATCTCAATGGAATTTCAATTCACGAGCGATGAGTGGAGAAGTCGCAAGAGTCCGATGCGACGAAAGTCGAAACACTGCTTACGAAGGAGCCGTCGAGAACCCGAGTCGTTTCTCGTGGAGGGATTAATGGGAAGTGTTGCAGAGCTCGGGGCTCCTCACAAAAGTGTTTCCTGAAGTCGACCAAATCTCACGTTTTTCGATGAGTGCCATGAGCTTTCAGGAGCCGATTTTTTTGTTGGTTCGCTGTTCGTTGGCTCGCTCATGGTGAGCGGGGCTTTCCGAAATAAGCCGATTGGAGAACGGATTAAATCCTTTGTTGAGAACGACAGCAAGACTCGTCTTACCATTGGTTCCTACCATCTAATACATACAAGATGGAGGCAGACTGACAGCGGTAGCGGCGACTAGCTAAAAAAAACTTCGGCACACAGAGCTAAGCTGTAAGGGAATTTTCTGAGCGGCCTTCGTGGAAAAGTTTCATTTCGTACTTAATGCGACCAACCGTTGCTTAGCGATGTGCTCATGGGGGAGTAGGCTGAGTGCAACTCTCCGCGCTGAACAATAATCAGGGACGTCTCCGGAACAATCTCTTCTAGAAGAGACACGTGGCCGAACGTCGACGTCGGTAGCGAACGTGGCCTTGATTCGATACTGAATTCAACCTTGACTGCCTTCACGGAACCCGAGAGAATAATGATGATTGCCCCATAGTGGTGCCTCTTCTTGATTGGCTTCCGGGAAAACAAGAAAATACTGATTGAAACCTCCCCGTCTACCTGCGCGCCCCTGAGCTCAGAGCCCGGTCTGAGAATCCGCCCGTCTTCCGACAAGGCTCGATCGAACTTACTTCGCCTAATATGACTGACTTAGTCGGGATTCTCCTCCGCCAGCGTGGACTAAGGACGGAGCGAAAAAATAAGAGCCAGCAAGGGATGGTCCCCGACGCCTTCCGACTACCTTATGCTTCGACTCGAGTTCCATTTCTCGATTGCTGATCAGTGCAACGCAGTTCCAGAGGATTCGTCGCGGTGATTCGATGATGTCAACACCGAATCCGGCTCAGTTTGGATTCCTCCATGAAACCTCTCGCTCCCCCGAGTAATCGGCGAGGGCGTATTTAACCCCTGAATATTGAACTAAAGAGAAACATGTTGGGAAGATCGCGAGTAAAATCAAAGAGCGATAGAAAGCAGGACCTCCCTCCGAAGACGATGTCGCTTACCATCGCTCGGGGCGGTCAGGAGAGGAATTCAGTCAGCTCCGAAATCTGAGGTGTTTAATCGGATGTCTGCGAAAATACGCAATAATTCTCGTAAGGGTCCGAGGAATGGCGTAGGAAGCGTCGATCCCGTGAAGAACCCGTGCCCCGCATCCGTATCCCGCTTTCGGTGAAAGACAGTTTTCGAAAGGAATAATGGCTCCAGGCGCGTCCATACGATTTTTTTTGGGGGGGGGGGGGGGCGAGCCGATCTCTTGAGTCGCATCAAAAAGAACAATTTCTCGATTTGTCCGGAGATGGTGATTCTCGCCAATCTGCTCCCTACCTGCGAACATGCGACATCAATAAATAGTTCTCATCGGACCGAGAGAGAATCGAAATAGACCGGGAGAACCGAATCTGAACTCGA